GGCTTAACATCGACGAAAATTCAACGCGATGCGACACGCAACGGAGAAAAATTTCAACATCGGATACGTTAAACTATTTTTTCGCACACAATCGGTTATCCGAAATATCAGTTATCCGAACAATCTTGACCTATCTAGTTACACTCATTCTAGTCATTTATTTTATTTTATTTTTCCTACTCTTTGCGATACTATAAATATATTGGCTTCATCTACATACAGTTCAGACAATGTACCGTCTATTTTTTTTAATAAGAAATTGGCTCTTTTATCGGTCTCTATATTTCTTTATTTATTCCTTCAGATCCTTGATCTTGGTTACATCTCTTCCCAGTGGACACTGTCTGTCATTTCCGTTGTCCCAATACGGGAGTCCAATTCTTATCGTCTAATTTCTTTAGTACCGATCATTTTAAAATTATTTGAAATGTGTTTTAATTATTAATTAGATTATATATTTTCCTATAATTGCTCGTATATGTTAAATCTAGTACTATGGCGTTAAACATCTTTCGACTACAAGTAACCTCCTTGAAATTCAACCTGTCATTCTAATTTTCATGTAAAACTTCCTACTTATGTGGCATATATTTTAATGTCTTACTATTTTCTCTACATTTTTAGTCATGTTCTCTCTGTCACACACTAGAAACGCTATTTGCTTATTTTCCCTTTTTTTTACTGCCATAATGTTACTATCAAAACCTTTTCTTTTTCTTATAATCATTACAAGAAAATTGATTTAAAAGTAGAGGATAAATTATATTTATGATATTATAAATATAAAGCACTTTATAAATGAAAACGAATTCCAGCAACGAGTTGAGTAACTTTCTCGGCTGTTAAAAGATTTTATTTAAAAATTTACTTTTTGATTATTAATTTATTATTATAAAACGGTAAAACGTTTAGTTTTGAGAGTAGAAATGAACTTTATAAAAAAATTGTGATGCTAATAACGAGTAAAATCTTAATTAAGTCCCATCCCTCTCGAGATATCATACGTGAAACCCACTATCTCTTCATCCCTTCACCCTTTAACCACCAAAATTTAATACTATATAATAGCAATTTAATAGTCCTTATATACAAATTATCATGACAAATTTCGTTTCTCCAAATCGTTATCACTTTCTCTTAGAAAAGCCGGGAGAGTAATAGTAATCTACATTTAATTCCAATGTATCACAAGATAACTATATATGAACTTCCTATGAAAACTGGAAGCTACGTTATTTCTCAATTCAAAAATTTCTCCCGAAAGGAGTTAGATAGATGACCGACACGACTCTATTATTAATGATGTACTGTAAAGGGACAAACCACTACTAATTTGAGGTGGAGAGCATATATTTTTAATGAAATAAATTAAAAATATGATTATAAAATTGCAGCCTGGCATTGTGACGATGTCATAATAAACAATTGCTCGTTTTTTTTAATAGATTTTCATTAATGAAACGATAAATTTCTTCTAATATTCTCAATTACATTTAGAAGCTATTTTTTTCTATTTTTATTTCTTTTTTATCATTGTTATAATTTTGATATTCTGATAAAATTGTGTTTTGAAATGAGTATTCTTCTGATCGATAATCCTAATAAAACAAAATTATATATTAAGTAAATACATTTGTTGATAGTTATCCGTATAATCTTAAATTATAAGTCTTTATTTTTATTAGATTACGTTTGAATTTAATTTAGTTCATTTTTCTAATTTGATAATCGATTATTCATTAATTAATAATTTAACCATACAAAAAACATAATAGATTTAATAAAATATTTTCTTTGTACAACAGATATTCTATAGGAAAAAAACACCTAACATATATTACACTAGTTGAATAGTGTATAAGCCTGTATGATGAATAATCAGTGATTACATATAATGGATCTTTCTTTTCTTTCTTCGCGTTATAAATTTTTTAAAATTACTTTATTTGTGTCTAATAATAATTCTAAATCTATTTCTGAATGTTTTAAAATCTTCAATCCTAATATTTTCCATGTATTTTACGCATTAAAATAAAATTCTATTGTATTATTTTTATGTATTAGAGTCAACCAAATAATATTAATGTATTAATAATACCAGAAATTGTAAAGATTTTAGAAAAAAAAACAGTTAAAATTCTGTTTTCTTTTTTAATTTACAAACAGAAAAATATATAAAATTTCATAAATTAGAATTACAATTATATTGAATTATGTTATGTTACATTATATAATACATTGAAAATTAACAAAGGTAATAAAACAGTTTAGAACATCAATAAAAAAAATTTTTTATTGAAAATTATGAATTCAATTATGTTATTTTAATACTAAAGCAAATTATATAATTTCAATTAGACAGTATTTTATAAAGTAATATCTATTTCTTTCATCAGAAAAGTTTAAGGGGAAGGAAGAAACTACATAGTAAACAGAGTTAAATGAGTTTATTGCCATCTATTCTACCGACAGATCGGATGGCAAATGGAAATAACATAATGGGCTATTATAGTCAATCATTATATCTAAGTAGAGTTGCTCTTCTAACTCTCTTCACTGCCTGCCATTTTTATTGTAAATTTTTTGAAGAGCATTCTGTAATTTTAACATAAAATATTTTAAATTTTCTTGTGCTTTTAAACGGTTTTGTTAAAAAAAAAAATAGGAAATATAAATATTTCATAAAATATAAAGAATAAGTTAAATATTGCTTTAAAAGTATAATAAATATAAATATATATATATATATAAAGTTTTAAAGAAACAAACTAAAATTTATATATAAATTTAAATTTATTTTGTGCCGAGACAAGAATACGTAAAATTACTCTGTATAAATCAGTAGGAAATAAAGTAAAAAAGTAATTTATGTTTAGTGAATCCGATTAATCAAAATTATTGTTCTCATATAAATATATCTAAATATATTAAAATTATGTGATATTGTGTCTAAATTAAGAGGAGAAAATGTTAACTGTAAATTTTTTTTTTTAATTTAAATGAATTCATTACATTTATTAACAGTAACAAACTCGATAATAAACATTACTATTTATTAAATATTGTAGTGTTATTCAATATAAACTGTTGGTTTTTATGATGAGTCCAAGTAACTTTTTCTCCTCTAGCGTCATCGTTGCTATGGAAACATCATGTCTAAATGCCTGATCATTTGAAAAATTGCCAGTAAAGTTACTTTCTCTCCCATGATATTTTATTTGGTTGAGAATCAATTGTTGCATCCAGCAGCGATCGACACAGACAGGTAAGAAAGCGATGTCTGACTTCGCTTTTATATAATTCCGTGTTTTTTAAAATACTCTGAATTTTATTCTCTTGGAATGCTTATTCGTATTTTGACTTAAAAATGTTTTGACAGATAAATTTAGTGTAGACAATATTCTATTCTACTTTATTATCAGCTATTATATAATACGTCCGAAATACTAATTAAATTTAATTTAATTATGTGATATCTCTTAAATAAGAAACTTCGTCTAATAAATAAGGCTAACTAAAAACTAGATAATGCATTCAGATATCGTAATGTTATTTAAAATTAATTTAGGAAGTTTAATGAATTTAATTGAATTTTTTATATTGTAAGATTAAGTGTAAACTTAACTGTACGTTACACTTTTATTATTTATATTTGATTTTTTTTTTCTAATTTAATGATAAAATTATTTTCTAGTCTAATTTTACATAAATAACTTGAAATATTATAGAAAATTCAATAAAGAAAGTTAATAAATTTAAAGCTCAAAAAGTGAATTCTTTTATCTTTCATGTTAAATAAACTAAGATTAGTTTTTATAAAATTTCACAAAATCGACATATAATATTTATTATATTATTAACTGAAGACTTATTTAATTCATTTTATCTTTTATCGTGTGTATATTTAATATGTTTTTGTTTTATTGCTGTTCTATTTTATATGAATTGAGACTTCAATTTATTTAGAATTATTTCAGCATTTAATAGTTTTAATAAACTAAAAAATAAGTTTATTTTATTAATTTTGTGAATTAATAATAATTATTCTTTTTACTTAAATATTATTCATTGAAATATTTAATTACTTTTATTTACTTAAAAGGATATTAAGTATTTCATTAAACTTATAAACTACATTAATATAAAATTTATTTATTTATTTCTGCTAAGGAATGCATTATAGCATGAAATTAACATTTTAATATATTTAATAGTGAATATTTAATAATTAATTCTTATTTTTTTTTTACAGTTTTTCAAAGAAACTCTGCTTATGTTAGTTTTAATTTTATAAGTTGCATAAATCATATTTATTCTGATAAGCAATGAATTTTTATTAAATTTTAAATAAATAAGCTAATAATAATTTACTTTTAAACTAAATTTTTCTAATAGTAAATTCTGTAATTTAAAAAAAATCAAAAATTGTCTATAAATAGATATAAACATTTCAAATATCATATATGTCTGCCATAAAATTTCGATTTAGAAATGGTAAAATCCAAGGTCGACATAGGATTATTTATGATATAACAACTCAATTTTTTAAAATATATAATACAGCATACAATACTTTAAGAAGGAGAAAAAGAATTAAATATAAATTTTTTATTATAAGCTAATATTAAAATTCGTCATATAATCTAGAATATAATTTAAAATATTTTAATTTAATATTAAAGAAGTGATCTAATTTACTTCCAGACGACACAATTTATGTATTTTTTCTATGAGAATTTTCTTTTGTAAAAGATGAGAAACGAGAATAGAACATGTCAAGACATCAATGGTCCCAGCATTTTTATTGTTATTATTATTATTATTTTTAAAATAAATTGTTAAATCTTCTCGTAACTTCAATACTATGTTATAAATAATTAAAAACATATAATATGAACTTAAAAACTTAATAAATTTTTACGTAATCTTGAAATGAATAAATTATATAAACTCATGGATAACTTCTGTTTTTTACAGTTTATATTTTCTTACATTTTGACATGACTATTACTTATCAATTCAACGTGGCTACATCAAGTTTCTTAGGATTTGCTAAACTTTTAGTTAAATGGAGAGGAAGTGTTTATAAATTAATTTACAAAGAATTATTAGTGTACGCTACTGCTTACGCTGCAATTAGTATAACTTACAGAAACTTCATGTCTGAATCCCAAAGAAGGTAAGTTAATCATTTAGATTCTTATAGGCAGTTGATATATAAATACTGTAAACAGAATTACCGCCATTTTGATTTATTGAAGGGATTTACTTGTTTTTTTTTTTTTTAACATTGTATCTCAAGAGAATGTAGAGATAAAAACTAAACTAAACGTTTTATAAATTAATCATTATTTGTAATTAAAAATGATTAATATTTTTATTAATTTTAATTTAAAAACTAGTAAAAATTTTAAAAATGACATTAATTAGTCTTTTAATACAACAATTAAAAGACTAATTAATGTCATTTTATTATTAATAATTATTATTTATTAAGACTTTTAATAATTACTTATTAAGAACTTTATTATTAATTAAGAACTATTTAAGTATTAAAAAGTTTTGTTTAACCACTCAAATTCAAGTAATTTGTACACACAAATTACTTGAATTTGAGTGGTAAAACGAAAACAGTTTTGAAATATATATNTGAGTCTCATTCCATTATCTTTCGTCTTGGGGTTTTACGTAACTTTTGTCGTCACAAGATGGTGGAATCAATTTACAACAATTCCGTGGCCTGATAGGTTAAAAAAATAAAAAAAAATTATATTTATTATAATTTCATTTGTATTCATGCATTAAATATAGGAAAAGAAAACAAACATTCAAACACAGTTTTAATTTCCTCTAAATTTTAATTTTATTAAAATTTATTCCAAATTTATTACAAATAATAATTTTAATTTTAGAATTCTTCATACAATCGTGGTTTATATTAGTGGTTCCGACGAAAGAGGAAGATTGTTGAGAAGAACTTTAATGAGATATGTCAATTTGAGTTTTGTGCTCGTCTTCCAAGCTATAAGTGGAGCGGTCAAGAAACGATTTCCAACTGTCAAACATTTAGTTGAAGCTGGTAAATTTAATAACAACAATTTTTGGTTTTAAATATAATTAAAACTTAGAAATAAATTTGTTTAAAAAAAAAAATCAATATTTGAAATTTTTAAGTCATATTTTTCTCACTAGATGGCGAGTGTTGTTCCTTTCTATTATTATTATATTTAAAGCAGACCCCTTATAACACTGTAGATAATTCCGTTTTATATGAATTCCATGTTGTACGAGTCACTTAGATTTTATAAATACGTGAGCCGTTCACAGCCCGGTACACGTATTTGTGAAATCTAAGTGACTCGTACAACGTGGAATTTATATAAAACGGAATTATCTACAGTGTTATAGGGAATCTACTGTATTGTTGATATTAACTACAGTTACAATTTAAATACAGTGAAAGGGTTTATGTAATTAAAATTAATTATGTATAAGATGTTTAATTTCACATACAAGTTTTATATATAGAATATATTATTGTTTATGTACGTGTACTGTACAGTACTGTACATACCATAGTTCTGGCACTGTACTAAACAAATATATGATGTAAATCGAAATAATAAACAAACTTTTTTTTTGGAAAAATGCACTTTAATTATATTTAATTAACTACATAAACAAATAGATGATGTTCTTAAGAGCGGCGATTCTTGGATTTGAAAACAATAACCTGTTAATTTGGTTACTTATAAAAAAAAAATCATTGTAAGATTAACAGGGTTTTAATTTTCACATATGACATACGGATTGGAAATTTTGTCCATTAAATCGAATTTTTACCGTAATTATATAATTAATATTTAAAATTATTATATTTATATTTTAAATGTATTCTAAGATATGTCGTAGACTTAGTCCTATATATATTTTTTGTTAATCTTTATGATCTGCATAGGATTCATGACTACAGAAGAAAGAGAACTTTTCGAAAGTGTCCCCACGAAAGTGAATAAACATTGGGTACCAATTATCTGGTTTATAAATCTTTTAAGTTTAACTTGTAAAGAAGGACGAGTTCATGAAGGAGCACCACTCAAACATATTTTAGAGGTATTTTAAAAAAATTTAAGTTATTTATTTTTGCTTTTTTTTTTATTATCAGGGCTGTGGAGTCGGTAGATTTTTAAACGACTCCGACTCCGACCAGGGGTGTACTTGTTAAGAAAGTAGGCCCGAAAATTCTGACATTATCACGTAACCTCAGAATATAAGCTTTAATAAATATAGTTCTAATAAAGATAGAACGTAGAAACTTTTTTATTCCAAAACTAAAATATTCCTCTAAGTAATAAAATAGTCGATATATAAATATGTATTCGATAATTTTTACTTTTCCGGCTGTTATATATAACAGAAGAAAAGTGTAAGGATCGGTCAAAAACTGATCCCACCCCAAATTTTTACATTTTTGGACTCAGAACACCTCGAAATGTCGAGATATGCAAAAGATTCGGGTTTCCCTTCCCCTTGTATGTACAGTACAAATGTTAGACTGTATGGGAGGCACGATTTGAATCGGAGTCGGATAGTTTAACACAGGAGTTATTAAGCTTCAAAATGGTTGAACTAAATCGGTTGGTACTGTACAGTACTGTACATATTCTAACATCTGTGCTACAGAAAAAACCCCGAATGCTTTTGCACTTCTCTTCGTTTCGAGGCTTCCCGAGTCCAAAAGAGTAAAAATCTGGGAAAGTCATTTTTTGACTGATCGTCATTCTTTTCCTTTGTTATAGGCCTATACTGTATAACTACCGGGAAAGTAATAATGATGACGATTATTATTTTTAAAAAATACAAAATAAAACGATTTTAAAAAACTAATTAAACATTAAAATTTGACACATCTACTGGATATATAAATTCACATTTATTTACTTGTTTGGTGATAGTAATGGTATTTGGTAAGCATGTATGAATAAAAATAGTAAATACATTCGTACACAAACAAATTAGTTTAATAAAAATGTTGTACATAATAAACGAGTATTGTCTGTTGGGTAATATATAGGCTAAGTATACAAATACATTAAACTAAATCGAGAATGAGAAATATAACATTTAGTAAAGAAAAAGGTTGCTTATTTTGCCATGTTGATTAATTTATTATTTTTCATCTCTGTTATAAACTAAATTACTCCTTACAAAAAAGAAAAAAAGTCACTTCTATTCCTTTTCTGTCTGTACTCATATTAGAACTTAAGCTTAATTTTGAGAGTAGAGACGAGTTATATAAAAAGAAGAAAAAACTAGCAGATGGACTAGATGTTGCTCGGGCAAAAGATTAGGATTATTAGATTATAGACGATCTTACTCGTTTTCACTGGGTGCAAGAATTAGCCCCTCTTCCGAGACTAATTAGAGAATTTTTTAGATGGGTCTAAAAGTATGTTAGATTTTTCTCAAAACGCAAAAAACCGCATCTACAATAGTACGGTAGAAACGGAGTTCTTCAGGGTAATCCTTAACCTTCTCTCTCTTCCCCCGCGAAAGGAATTTCGAAAAATCCCTTCTTAGTGTACATTCTTATGATGTATCCTAATTGTGTACCAAATTTCAACTTTCAATTCCTAACCGTTTGAACTCTGAACTAATTATTATTATTATTATAAACTCGGAGGGTCAAATGTGATACGATTCAAATACTTTTTCGTTTTTTATATACATAACAAGTTGGGAAAGTAAAAAGGAGTCGGAGTCGAGGGGATTTTTAACGATTCCGATTCTGACTAAAACACCAAAATTCCACGACTCCGACTCCACAGCCACGTTTATTATTTAAATGTCGATTTTTCTTTTAGGAAATTAATGAATTTCGATCGAAAACTAGTCTTTTATGGTGTTATGATTGGGTAACAGTACCTTTAGTATATACACAGGTAATTCGTATTTCTAAAAGCCTAATTTTTATATTAAATATAAAAATAAAAATTTTATTTAATTTTTATTTTGGTAAATTTAATTATGTTGTTTTATTTTATATTTTAGGTAGTTACGTTAACAACACATTTATTTTTTCTTACCTGTTTGATTGGACGACAATACTTAGATCCTGCTCAACGTTCTCCTGGACAAGATATTGATCTATATTTTCCATTCTTCACCTTTCTACAATTTTTCTTTTTTATGGGATGGTTAAAAGTATTAAATTATTTTGTCATTAATTTTTTTTAAATTTACATTACTATTAGCCTATTATTATATATTAAGAACAAATGCAAGTATAGGCCTATATTTATATAAATAGGTGGCCGAACAACTAATTAATCCCTTTGGTGAAGATGATGACGATTTCGAAACAAATTGGCTCATCGATCGCCATATTCAGGTTTAAAAATAAATGTTTTTTTAAAAGAAAAAATTGTTATATAAATCAGTTTTAAATTATAAGTAAATTAGTTTAGTTTTATTTTATTAATTACTTTGGATAAGAAGAAGTTTTGAACAGTAAAAAAATAGCTTATTCGTTTATATATTTCATGCATTTTTCATATGATGGTTATCAGACAAAGGGCCATCCATTCTTTGCACTGTATCGTCTACGTGCCTATTTATAGATAAATTTTAATAAAGAAGAAAGAAGAAATACAAAATTAGATTAACTAACATGCATGAGTTATATTATTCTATAGACACTTGTTTAATAATTAAATAATTTTGTAAATCTTGCTTAATCGTTTCCAACGCGCTTTTTTAACTCACCACTTCCTCAATTATTCGATAGGTTAATTCTCTCACCTAGACAATCTTTCACTATTTATTATAGTTAAATTAAATAATAAAAACACAATTGTTTTATAACTTTTTTATTCTAGGTATCATATTTAGCTGTAGATGAACTTTATGCTAAATTACCCCGAATCGAAAAAGATATATATTGGGATCATCAAGAACCTGAATTACCCTACACAGAAGCAGCACTTGTTCATAAAATACCAACTTATAGAGGATCTACAATGCATATGGTGTATGCTTATAAATGCATATTTTAAACCTGTTTATATAAATTTTAATGAATACGTGCTTGATTACATGTTACTTTTATAGAATACCGCGGGAAGAACAAATAATGGTTTTCGGAGACGAACATAAACATTTTTCGAGTTCAACTACATTAACTTCTGCTTTAGCAAGATGCTGCATTCGTAACATATGGAGTAGATCATCTGGAAGAGAGTAAGTATTTTTCTTTTGTTTTATAATTGATTGTTCAAGCATTAAATCCTTACGCTTGTCTTTGTATAAGAACGCCTGATGAAAGAGATTTAACTCGTGGTTTAAATCCAAATAAATTAATTGCACATCGGAATATAAAAGAAATCAAACATTCAGCAAAAACTCTAGGATCAAATACATCTTTGTTTGAAGAAACATATTTAAGGATCTTAAACAGGTAATAGATGAGGAATGTTTTTTTTTTTTTAATGTCACATGTTAACATTAATAAATTTATAGAGGTGTTGGGAAGGATTCTAGTTTTAACAAGTACTCAATGGACACAATTTATAATATATCTGGAACTGATGCAGCCACAATAGCTGCACCTGCAGGCGTACTTTTAACTCGAAGACAGATGCCTTGTCAAGATACAAGACCACCTCTTGCGAGGTTCGCATTTATTTTTATTTTATTTCATGAAGGACAATAAAATTTGAATAGACGACATTTTTACAATGAAATTGAAAATATTTATTAATATAATTTTTTTTTTTATAGATTGCCGGAAGTTTCTCAAGAAAGTTTACCAAGCGATATCGACAGTATATCTTTTACAGTATATTCATCGACTAATTCTCCATCCATTTTAAATACTCAAATAAATAACAAAGTACACGTTTACTGCGATTCAGATTCAGATTAGAAATTTCAAACGAATGAATTATATGTATTTTAAGTATTAAAATTATTTAAAATATTACAAAATTGCTTTTATAATTTTGTATTATATATTTAATAAGTTTAAATTATTATCTGATAAATTAGTTTGTCACCATTGCAGTTTGAAAATATGTAATTTTATAGATTTCTAGTTTAAACTATTAAAAAACTCTATACATGAAGATTTAAATTTTATATGATAATTTACCATATAACAATATATATTTTGTTTTAAATTAATTAATTAATAAGAAAAAAAGAATAAATATTTTCAAAAACATAAAAGTAAATAAAAATTTGATGCATAAAACGACATCAAGGAAGACCAAAGAACGAAACAGAATTCTCCCCTTTTACTAACAAAGAGGATCCCGAAATCATACGACAAGGAACCACTCAGAAAGTACAGAAGATACCACTCAGGCGATCCAAAGGAGAAACAGTTGAAAATCTCCTTCCATCTGCTTTATTCTCAGTAACAGATGCCACTTTCTCATACAAGGATCGGTAAATTAAACCATTCGACCGGCCAAAAGCTATCACGTGATCCGATGACTTTTCAATTCATAGCACAGATTGTTTCAAAAAAACAAGAAAAAAGGAAAATGCGTATGTTTTTTGGATGGGTTAACCTTTAGAATATATATATATATACGTTTCTAACATATAGAAATGAAATGAAATTATATTTAAATTACAGAAAATATTCGTTTTTATTTAGTGTTAGGTATTATATTAAGTTATAAATATTAAATTTAATAATGTTTATTTATTATAAATTAGCTCATTAATTATAAACATAAGTAAAACAAAATTGCATTTTAGCTTCTTTTTTTCATTTATTAGCTTTTTCTAAAAGTAAATCTTCTCAATAGAATGGTTCTATAAACTAGTGTATATTTTATTATATAAAAATTTTTTTTTGTATTAAATCCAGGTCTACATTTAAATAAATAAAATTACAAGAATTATTAAAATATTAAAAAGTAGTTTGTTTTTTTTTTTCCTGGTCGAGTCTTAACTGACGATTTCCGAGGCAAAAAGCATCACCTGCTCGAGACATTTAGAGTGCTCATTTTCAATCGAAAGTAGTCCTATGACCGTGATGAGGTTGGAAAAAAACCGGAAGTTAAAACATGAAAGGAAGATACCATTCCCGTCTACTTCCGGTTAGAAGTAAAGTAAAGTATGATATGTCACTGTCAGGTGCTTGGTTTGTTGCTTGATTTTAAGGACCAAGAGGAGAGTTGTAGAGAAAGTGGACTTGGAACTTTTATCATTCTACAAGTATAGGCTTTTTCCACATAGCTTTACTAATCTTCTGATAAAACTTAAAAATTATTAATGTTTTATTAACCAGTTTTATTTTAAATTTAAAAAAAAAAAATTCTGAGAAATAACAGCATTTAAAATTTAAAATAAATAATGATTCAGATGATTAAAATAGCCATTAATTAATAAATAAAAATAATGATGATAAAATGAAATAAACTACAATTATTTTATTAATGACGTTTATTTATATTTTCTTTTAACTATAAATTATTTGAAATTTATATAAGAATATATCTGAAACAGAATACAATAATTATATTTTCTCATTGTAAAATATTCTTTAGTAGTAAAAGGAAATTTAATATCATGTGTGACAATAATTCGAATTTATATAACGTGTAAATTATGTACTGTACGTTTATAAATTCTAAGTAATTCGTACATAAATTTCTTTAAAATAAATTTTAGCTTTGTTTTTTACTTACTTTCTTAAAAGATTCTCTAAGATTTTATACGAGAAAAGATTAAGTAAATAGTTTATTACACGAGTTTATTTAAAGTTATTATGTAAAAGGTTTCAGAACTAGGAAAAAATTCTGTGATAGATTATAAAGAAAAGACTGAAATAAAATACATAAATACTTTATTTAACATAGAAAAAGAAAAGAAAAAAAAACACTGATATGGCCTAATTCACTTCATCTAATTCATAACTTAGGCTACTTCAAAAACTTTTATCAGTTGCTCGATTATTATGATAAATTATCTATATTTATCGCGACTTATCCGTCCTAGTAAATTGAAGACTAAAAAAATATATAGGCCTTATATATATATATAAACAATTTTACCATCACTTACAAAACACGAAACTTGTTTTCGTGTCACGTAAGTCTATCATATTACAGATAATCACACGAATCACTTCGGTAAAATTATTGTAGTTTTAAAAAACACTCTAAAAGAAAATGAAGTTAATACAATTTGAAGTAACATCACTTTATTGAGAAGTATTAATACATTTGAATGTCGTTATATAGGCCTATTACGTTAGTTATTATTGTACTGTACTAATTAATATCTTAATAATATATAACATTAAATCATAAGCAAATTAAATTACATGTCAAAAATAGTAAAGATAGGCTAAATATATATATATATATATATATTATTTATACCTAAATCTTTTATTAAGATTGCATTTTGTAAATGTATAAACTTATTTTTAAAGTGTATTTATGGAAAAATTTTTAAAGAATTGCATAAAATATAGCTTATTATAAGTGAGATTTATAGCTGGAAAGTTTAGTCGGTGTGACTAATCTGTCAGCAAACAGGAAAGTTTCGTTTTGTCGTCGAGAAGATCAATTAGTTGGCTGACTTGACACGAAATCGTTCGCACTTGACGCATTCCCACAACTTTGTTTGACTCTGATCTCGGATTTAGAGGAATTTAAACGAATATTTTAAAATAAAACTTTTAAAAATTGATCTGTTCGAAATGTTCTTACATGTAACGTCAATAAATACTTAAATAACATAAAATAAACAATATATAATTCGTATGATATTTGTGATTTCATTTATAAATTTAAAAAGATGAGTTAAAATTAAAACCATTCCAATGTTGTATTACTTTAATTAAAAACTATTTTTTATCTCTTAATTGTTAGTTATGTGTCATATAGATTTTAAGTAAAGCGAATATTTTTAATGACAAAATAAATGAATTTTGCTAATCGAAAGTGTAAAATTTAATATAATGAAGTTAAATTTTATACTTAATTTTATTTTTTAATTATAAAAAAAAAGTATTTTAAAATGTATAANCATGTTGTACGAGTCACTTAGATTTTACAAATACGTGTGCCGTGCTGTGAACGACTCACGTATTTGTAAAATCTAAGTGACTCGTACAACATGAAATTCATATAAAACGGAATTATCAACAGTGTTATAGGGGGGTCGACTTGTAGATATAAATTAAATATACGAGAAGATATTAACTGAATTAATATTACTGTAAAAAAGGGGGGTTTATTTTAACAAAACTCAAAACAATGAAAGGAAACTTTCTTTACCTTCAATGAATATCGAATCTAGACGTAGAAATATTGATTGGTACTTAATTACTTCGGTTACAAATATTGGCAAGTGTTGTACAGTACCTAAAACAATTTAATTGGATTATAAATTAAAACAACGATATAAGGCTATAGGTTATTTTTACGTAAATTATCTTAAGTAAAGCCGGATAAATATGATTTTAAATTTATTAATGTTGCCTAATTTATTCATTTTCAAGGAGTAATAAAAATTAGAAAAACGTGTAATAAAAACAGTAGGCTAATAGAAATGTGGAAATGTATAATTATATCAAAAATATTTTGAATATTATATTTGTTTAGAATATTCACAAAAATGGTAATTTTTATATCAAATTAATTAAAATTAAAGAGAAAGTCCGACGAAATAGTTCACGTTTTTATTCACTTTTATGTTCTGGAATATATTCCATGACTGTCCTATGGTTTGTTATGCAAATTTATATTTGAAAACTTCTATTAAAAAATTATGCATATTTTCACATTTTTAATAATACTAGAAAATTATTAATTTAATTTTTTTTTTTTTTAAATCTTTGAATAATAAAATAATTCCATTTTACACGATGTAGAAAGGGACAAAACCCTCAACCAAAAAGAGAAAAATTCGTAAACAATTCGAGTTAGTTGATGTCAAATTTACAGTTTGGAAACTGTCACGCGCTTTTTTCTTTCTTTCTTTCTTTCTCCCCTTTCTTCTTACTCCCAATTCAGCTTAATCAAATAAGAAACTAAAATAGAACGGCTGATTAAAAATCTCTACAAATTCAGAATAGACCAAATCAAGTAAAGAATGAGAGTCGCCATCCTTCATTTCCTCATTGTTCGTTCCTGACTGGCGACAATTTACTATTGAATTCAAAACCTCATCTAGTTTGGCTGCTACTTTGATTAGTAAAAAAAAACGTAAGTAGAAAGAAAGAAAACTTTGCTCATATCCCGAAGGATTCCACGACTGAATAAAATGACTTTTATTGAAAGTATTCATTGGATATAACATAAACACATAGAAGGCTTATAAGTTATAAATAAAACACGACCGTCTGTTCTCCTCTTTGTGATGAAGTGAGCATAATTAAGTCACGACAGCTGCTTCCGGTCATGTGACATTGCGTCAATAGTCCCGACCCGTCGAACAATGGCTGACTGATTGACGCATTGCCCTCCAATTACCGATATGAGGGATGTTGATAATCTGGTTTATCTTCTAACCTGGAAGGTAATCAGTTTATTAACCGGTATTTTATAGCGTAAATCTATTTGTGATCGAGTAAATTTAATTATTTATATAAAATATTTCAAGATTCAAATTATTTATCGAACCTACTGTTTTCCTAAAATTAAAATATTTTTAATTAATAACTAATTGGCTTTAATCATTAAAATATATTATAAAATCGTAAAGAAGTTTTTTATGTCGAAAAACTATTGAATTTATAAATATAGGCCTATGTCCGCTTTCAAATATTCGTATTTTTTTATGTGTTAAAGTATTATTTAAATTATAGTCCTTTTAACTTACCAGACAATAATTAGCCTACATTATTTTATACAGTCGACCCCCTATAACACTGTTGATTATTCCGTTTTATATGAATTCCATGTTGTACGAGTCACTTAGATTTTACAAATATGTGAGCCGTTCACAGCCCGGCACATGTATTTGTAAAATCTAAGTGACTCGTACAACATGGAATTCATATAAAACGGAATAATCAAGTGTTATAGGGGGGTCGACTTGTATTTAGTTTCCTGGAAATGAAGTAAAAATGTAAGTTTACGTTAAAGATTGCTGACTGATACTTTAAATAGTTATATCAAATTGAAAATAAAAATTGATTTTATTTATTATACATTCTCTCACGCTTAGAATTTATGGTCAGTATTATAGATAAAAGATAACGTTGTCATGTTTTTTATAATTTCTGACATATTAGTATTGATGTAAAGAGATATTTTGCATACTTATCACGCCCGAAGGTCTCTTTTTGTATTTCTAACAGGTTAGATTAAAAGTATAATATATAAAATTTTATTTATATAAAGATTTATAATCGATTAAAAGAATAAATAAGTAAGAATAAATACCAGTGATGAAACAACTAAATTAGTTAGTTTTTTTTATTTTATTCATATTTTTTACAAATATGTATACATATATTCACATTACTGTACATAAGCATACATCAATACTGCATTACAATATTTATTAATTGTTATAATCTGCTACGATACATAACATCTATGCCAAGGTAATAATAACGTGTTACATAAACAGGCGAAAGAAATCAACTACAGCGACGTCACGTAAAGTCATTCCGATGATCAATAATATACAGAATTAAAGCTTTGAAATTAAAAAAGAGATCAGTTGAGAGATAAACGACGTCAATTTGCATAACAAACATCTAAAAATGCTGCCATTTTGTTTAAGCTGTTTGAAACATATCACATAATAACCTTTCGATTGGAATATTTCCGATTGTCTTGGCGAAGAACATTTCTTCGATAACTTGACTGTTTAACTTTTTTGTTATTGATAATAATAATAACAGTTTTCCGAATCGAACTTTCGAAGGAGGCTGCTTTGTTAGAACGTATTCGTGAAGCATTAATTGCGTTTGGTCTTGAAGTAATTCTATTTGAAGTGGATCTCTTAAACCTTGAGTTTCTGCGTATCAATAACAGATTTTAAATAACAAAAATGAAAAGAATTTTATTTGTAAATGAAATTCTTACCTGGTTTAAACAGTACAAGTGCTTTTAAACACGAGAATTCAGTGTGATCGACTTGTAATGATGTCAACAAGGACATAATACTTCTCATCTGTTGAAGATGATTTACAACAAGATTCCGTTTTTCGGGAGATAGTACATTTCCCAAAGACAGTAGGCCTAAAATATTATAATTTAGTTTGTAAAAATATACAAATTAAAATAGAATTAAAATTATATAAGTAATAATTTTTGCCTTCTTGAAGAGGAAATCCCCATTGTGCTGCGCTTAATATAAAAATATCGCTCCAACATTCTTCTAATAGTATAGTCTGATCTCTAAATGACAATTGAAGAAAAGAAGGTATGGTTCTCATCCATCTTACAGAAAAGAATAATAATTTAGCTGCTGCTTCGTATATAGTATCTAAAGGTGATGGTGGATATGGTGAAATTGTCGTGTTTCCTGCAGTTGTACTAGTACAGACACTCAGATCTACGGATGGTACGTAAGTAAGTCGAAGATTTGTAGGTTCTGCTGAAGGGACTGAAGATTTGCAAGTGGAAATAGGACATGATATTAGTCGAGGAAGAACAGTTGGAACATCAACTTTATTTGTATTATCGTGAGAGTCATCACTCGCACTACTATCATCTGTTAATGTTTTCTGATTAGTAGAAATTATCTGTCTGCTTTCATCTGAAAATTAAAACATAAAAATTAATTTCGTAACAATTTAATTTTCTCTTTCAAGTTATTTAGATTTATAATAATTTTAAATAAATATTTAAAAATTTTTAATACTATGTCACAAGTTTGGACTATGACTTCATTAAATAGTGCGTGGCAATTTGCTGGATGTGTTATATTGACCGAAAAATCCCATTATCCGTGTGTTACTATTGATCAAAATTCATAAAAAAAAGAATAAGTGCCTTTAGTAGACCGCAAACACTATAATCAGCTATCGTGTATCGATGATATTTTGTATCTTCACTTTTAACATTTGACTTGTTTATTATTTATTGATGTATGCGTGAATATAACTTAACAATAGAAAATTCTGAAAGGGGCATTTACAATGGAGCACTAGCGCACTTGTTGCCTTTCCCAGTGAAGTTTCGTTTGTTCTTATTATCTCATATAGCGGTCGAAAAGACTAATATTATGGTGATATACATTTGTGAAAAGATAAAAATTTTAAATTGTCAAATATTACGATTTTATCGATAAAAAATTAATAAACGTTTACTGGTTTTATTACTCAAAATTTTTTAACTGGCTAAAAGAAAAAAAATTTATAGAGCTATAGACAAAACTTACCACTTCTAGGATCTTCTATCAATTGATTAGCAATGTAATTTGCACAAAAACTTGATGTGTTATTAGCCAGAAGATTTGTAGTAGGGGTTAATCTTCTAAGAGTAGAAACAGTTAGATCAGGACTGCAATAATTTGCTGATGTCAAATTGATTATAGGGCTTAATGTAGTGGATTGGTTAGATGGAGTATAATAAGGTATTTCATTTGAATTTCCGAGGATACGATTGCGTTTTCGAGGTTGATGAGATCTTGGTGCTCGTTCATGTTGAACGGCTGTTAATTAGAAACGTGAATTAATTATGAGGGTAGTAAGAATAAAAGTTATGTTTATTATATTTGTATGAATATATAAAGATTAATGAGTTAGCAAATTGCATTGTTAGAGATAGAAATTTATCGTGAGAATTAACTTTATAAATCAGTTTTTCTGCTATAGATAATGTGTGACGTATTACCAAAAGGTCAACGAAAAGTGATAGATTCAGTAAAGCAAAAAAGTACAATTATAAAATAGCCTATTACGAAATTATAGAATAATGGAAAAGTTTGGTTCACGAAAGAATTATTGAATGATAAAAGTGCGCCGACATGAGTCAGATAGGCCTACTTATTAAGAGCTTTAGCGCCGTATATAAAAAGTACTTGATGAAAAATGAAGCCTACTACACACAAATATTTTTATAAGGTTATTGTGTTCCCCAAATAGTTTTTATCTATGTAACCTAATTTTAATTTTATTTTAGATGTAGCTTTATAAATTCTTGAATAATTTATGTAAAACTTAAGGCTCATTTACAATTTTATTTTCTATAGGTAATATATTTGTACGTAAATAAATTGAATGCAATAATATTGAAAAACTATTTATAAACGCTTTATATTTAAATGCTCCATATTAAAAACTTTTATAAACTCGATAAATCCATAGTGACATTAAAACAAAATATACATTAAATAAGATAAAATAGTTATAAAATAATAAAATGATACTTACCTTCCTTTCTCATATTAGCTTGTAAACATTTTTTCAACCTGCAAGCTTGACATTGGTTCCTTCTGGCTACGTCAACTACACAATTACCGTTTTCTTTGCAGATATATTCTAAATTTCTTCGAATACTTCTTTTAAAGAATCCTCTGCAACCATCACAACTTGGAACTCCATAATGGCGACCTGACGCTTTGTCACCACAAACACGACAGAGAACTTCCGGTTTATCTGATGTGTGATTCATGATTTCTATAGGAATTTAATTAATATCTCAAAAAATCATTTTAATTATAACAAATAGCAGAATACTATAAGTTTAGGTTACATTCAACAATGCATAATACTTCTCGCACTCAGTTATTTTTGTAATAAAAACATCATTTAGCCTGCCAAATCTTAAACATTTATAATCCAAATGGTAAATTTTTTGAAGAATTTATAACAAGTATATCTATTTCATACGTATTTCCGGTAAAAAATTATGATTACTTTTTAAGTTATTATATAACCTATACTTTTGTTGAATAAATAATGAGTGAGAGTTAAATTCGTGTAGAAATGAACAAGCATTAACGTGGGGATATTTCTTTAAAGCTTTAATAATTTATTAATAAATATTTCTGATAAACTTTCGTCTTTATTATAGTCTAAACAATATACGCAGCTGGTAGATCAAAACGATCGTTCACGTCGACAGATAAATAACAATTTATCCATTGTTGTCTTACAATAAATAAAAAAGTAACCTTTTAACAAAGAAACTTGCGTGTCAAACTTTCAAACTTAGTCTCTATTTGGTCAAACATCAAACGTTATAGCAAGTTCATCATCTCACGTACTCAGAACCATATTCAAAAAGCATCATAGAAAATTTTAGATTGATTATTTAGAACCGCGTGAGTCTCAACAGGTGCAGATGTTTGATGTTTTGGTTCAATAGGGTACGATTTAGCGGGGTCGTTTTGTCATATTCGATCGATTCACAATGAGGGAAAGATAATTAGGTCTTGGTCTCTTCTTTGGTTTTTTTTTTTGTCACTTTCACTTGCCAAATGTCAATATGAGTTAGTAAATTGATAAATTAAGGATTAAGTTGAAATTGTGAGATAGAAAAAGATGATTTCTCCGGTAAAGTCGTTAAGAGTCTTTTGTGTAATTCTATGAAGACTATTAAGCTATCAAAAAAGATAAAATTATATTTAAAAGTATTTAAATCTTAATAGATCCGTTAAAGATATCAATAGCATCTAATCAACTATTTTAGCGTATCGTGATCTGTTTATTTCTTTAAAATAAAACTTAAGTTATACACGGAGCGAATAATACAGTTTAAACAATCAAATTTTATATTAAATTATAGTATCCATACCGAATTCTTAAAAACTTTAAACATTGCAAAAATATATAGGCCTATATTTTTAAAACTAAATATTTATATTTAAGTTTATGATTAATCATCAAGAGAATTAATCAATGGTTGGAAAAATTGTCTTATTTATGTAGCTTATAAATTCAATCTATGAATATAATGCATAATTCTGAAAATATGCCTTCAAACATAGGCCCATGTAGTTGAAAAAACATTGTTTTTATAAACTATTCATTCTGAGTTATATTAGTTCTTATTAATAATAAAAGATGGAAATAATAAACCAAAAATGAAAAAGTTAATGTATAGAAATAACAAATTAGTTCAGCATACTTCTTACAATACTAATCAGTAATAATTTAATAATTTATACTTAATATTACTATCAATAGATAACTTATATTTTAACCATAATTTCTATATTTATTATACATATAGTTATTATATCTATTAAATTATACACTTAATTGAAAAATAAGTAGTATGAACAATTCTTTATTAGAATTTTCAAAACAAAATATAAGGAAATTAATTTTAATTTAGTTGCTGGTAGTCTACTATAGGCCTATATCGAGAAAATATATTAATACGAGTGAATATAGCATATTAATTTAAAGCAAATTTATTAATATTTGGTCAATTTATTTAAGAATTCATAAATATCTAACTGTCAAAATAAACTTAATCTAAATTTAATAGCATGAATTACAATGCAAATGTATTTTTTAGGTTAAATAATTGAAGAATAATTGAAGAATGTTAAAAATGTAGTTAAATTAGAATTAAATTTTAGTTAAATAATTTTATATTGCATTTAAATGTTATATACTAAAATAAGCTACTGATAAATAGACATGAAACTTCTTGAAATTTTTTTAGGTCTGTAAGTTTAAATTGCAATACAACTAATAGAGAGAGAGAAAAAAAATATACTTCATNTTTTTTTTTTTGTTTTGTTTTAAATAATGTTATAAAGGTTTTATTATAAATTTCATTGAAGTTTTTATTAGAAACAATTAAACCTATTAAAATAAGATTTTGTATAAAAATGTATAAAATTGTATGACAATAGATTCTATGACTATTGTATGACAATAGATTCTATGATATTTTTAAATAAGATGATTAAATACTATGTGACTTATTAGGAATTAATTTAAAATTTAAATGTTTTTAAAATTAAGAATTATAGGTTACCAAATAATTTTTGCAAACGTTAAAAATACTTATTTAAAATCTTAATAACTTTAAAATATTTTAATATTAATTTTAATAGTTTTTTTTCATGAAGATTTCTTATTTTATTTCATAATATGATAAAAATACATTTTATATTTTTAGTATTGTACTGTACCGGTACGTACAGTACAGCACATGTACATACAGTACAGTACATACCGGTACAATACTATATAGCACTTAACATTATGTTTCTCTTAAGTAAAATACGTAAGTGAAGCATTACTTACATTTAAAAACTTTAGTGATATATGAGAATAATTACGTTAAATTGTCTGTATTTGTAGATTTCTTTTTATATCTAGTAAAAATTTAATTTTTGATAGAAAATAATACAAGTCGACCCCCCTATAACACTGTTGATAATTCCGTTTTATATGAATTCCATGTTGTACGAGTCACTTAGATTTTACAAATACGTGTGCGGATTAGAAACGTTACAACTAAAGACTTTACCTTTTCATCAATGAACAGTTTGTTGGTAATAAAACGTCTGAAATTTTTCTGATCATTCTGGATTCCCCCACATCGACTAGAACCCGCCTTCTTCTTAGGATATCCTCTTCTGGTATTGGTTGTTGGTCTCTGGTGGGACTGACAAGTCATCGAGTCAGAAGCTTGCTTTTGGCCGGTCGACTGTTTAATTTACCGATCTCTTGATGGGAATCTGACATCTGACGATGGGATGAAGACAGATGCAAGCAGATTTCAGATCTCTGAGTGGTATCTTCTGTACTTTCTCTATGGTCCCTTGTCCTATGGTTTGTTGGTAAGAGTTAAGTGAGTGCTTTTCGCTATTAGAAATTATAATAATAAAGTCGGTTTGTTTGCCTCTCCGCTTTTATAATACAGAAACTCAACATGTATTTACTTAGAGGAAAAAAAATATATTTAATTTTTAAATTATATCGTTTAAAATTTCGAAATAATTTTGACANATCACACTGATGAATTTTCTATGATTATATTATAATGTTAATTTAGTTAAAGGGTAATAAACATTAATAATATTTGTATTTTCTTAGCACGAGATTGTTGTTGAGAGCAAATCACACAGGAACACTTTTAGTGGAAAAAGGTCAGTTTATTGATAGGAAAGGACTTTTCCCACCCTTTTCCACTAAAAGTGTTCTTTGATTTGTTCTCAACGGCAACCTCATGCTAAGAAAATACGTATAGTAAAGACAACAGCAAGCAATCAAGATCTATTAATAATAGTATTTTATTATAATCTAAAACTCTAAATTCTATAAGACATTAAATTTTATATTAGCAAACTGAAGTGCGAAATTAAAATAGTCATAAATAACATAAGAATAATTTAATATAAGATACAATCTGATATTTTAATATTAATTATATACCTTAAGGACAGTAAAAAATAACTAATTTTTAAATATAAAAATATTGTTTATTTAAGAGCTCAGTTAAACAATTAATAAAACCAAATATGTATGTAATTAGCTATTGTTATTATAAGTAGAAATGTTTAATGATTTCTAAAATTAAAGATTATATATTAAAAATAACAATATAATGAGGTAAAATAGAAAAGATCATGACTGGTATAGGCTATACTAGTGAGGGAAAACTGAGTTCGGGTGTGCTTTCTGAGTACAACACTGCTGCTTACTTATACTCAAAGCTTATATATAGGCTATATAATATACAGACTTCAGACAAAAACGAACCATATATATATATCTTGTCACATCTAGCTTATTGCATATGTTTTCTGACACAGTAGAAACTGCCATGAGGCCTATAACTATCCAAAAATAAAGAAAAACATTTAATATGGTTTTGCTATATATTATATAATTATGACGTGCTTATAATAAATAAAATGATAAAAATACAATTGTAAATAATTTTCCACACGTAATTAAATTGAATAGTTTTATTTTAGACTGTTATAATTAATTAAAATATGCTCTTATAGACACAAAAAGTATAAAATATTATTTCATTTATAACTGTTCATAGGTTTTGACTTCATATAGGCATAACGTAGTTTTCGTTGTAGGCGTAGAATAATAGAGATTATATTACTTTTATACTGAGTTATGCTGTATAAATTCTAAAACGTATGGAAATATTTCAATTATTTTATGATTTATGTATTCTTATTTAAAAAGTAATTTAATTAATAAAATTGATTATTTCTANTGTATTTTATAGTACTGAAGAGGGACCTTTTTTAGAAAAGGACCGAAATGCATCTAGTAATAGAATAAAGTGAAATCATTGGCTAAAGCTGTGTGATAGTCTACCGCCAATATTAAAATTTACATTTTAAGTGCGGATTTACAAAGACTTTACAATATATATGATTCTATTTTATTATTTATTTATTTATTGACTTCGCACTAAGAGGGAAACTGGGAACTGGAACTAAGAGACTAAGGTCTTTTCCCGTATCCATCACGGGTTCGGCCGGTCCGAAATGGGGGCAGTTGGGTGATGATAGATAGGTCCGACTTAAATAGTACAGTACATAGGAGAAAGTTGGCAAAATCCCACCACTTAATGAATTTTATCATATATTTCCTATTTGATACTAATTAATTACTCAAGTTATTATTGAAAAACATATATTAATGTTTAAGACATTTATTATTATATAAATAATTTTTGTTACGAAAAAATCGATTTATTAAGCAAGCGTTTTTATAATATTATGTAAAAGATACGATTTAAGCAAAAGACTTTCTAAATTGTATCCGCCGGTTTTCAAAATCATAACCTCTTTACATAAAGCACAGAACGAAAAAAAGTTTTCACAAGAAAGTTGAAAAATCCTACCAGTTAATACAAGCATATAATATATATATATATACTGTATCTTATAAGTGTCATAGTATTACAGTATTTCACTGTATAGTACTGTACTATACAGTGAAAACTGTATTTTCAGATATAAATATTCAGTATCATAAATTGAATACTACGCTAATGCTGTTTTGAGCAAACAATAGTGAGGTGAGAAATTTATGACAAAATTTGTCATAAAAATGGCAAAACAGATCCACTCTATCCCTTGCCCCATGCAAGTTTTCGGCGGTCTTGACTCAATTCTGTAACCAGGATTATTTCCGTGAGGGGACACTTTACAAGATTAGGAATGCCTGGTTAAGGTGCATAGTACTGTACAGTACATTCTAGTCGGCATCATGTATTGATAGTTTATAGTGAAAACAGACATGAGATTTTTAAAATTATAATTTAAATAAATAAATAATTGATCCCATTTTTTGGTAGACTAATAGGTACAGAAAAAGTTTGAGAGGGCAAGTCCCCGAAATGTTTCCTTCGTAGCTACGGATCTGTCCTGGCTACTGATGATGCAGAGATCATTATCAGCGAATTTTTACCTTTAAAAACGTTTAATTGTTTTTTAAAATATAAAAAAATTTACATTCAAAAAATAATGTTTATAATTATATAGAAAAATCTATATTCGGAGAAAATAAAAATTTTGTTCAAAAGTGTTGTTTGTCCTTTAGAAGAATTACGATTTTTTTTTTTTTTGCAAAAAAAACTCTTAAAACCCGTTAAATTATTTTGTAATCTTCAATAAAACTTAATAAACGAATTGTAGAATAATTTTATTTATTAATTAATATATAATTTACAAATATATAATACAAAATTAAGCATTGTGAAACAATTTTGAAAATTTCTTTATGTATTTTACAAACATTCAGCAACGAATTGCGTAACTTTCACGGCAAGTGCTAAAACTTTGTGTGGCATCTTCTGTTTTGAGATTTTATTTTTTAAAATTTTTATATTAATTATTATAAAATAGCCAACAGCTGAATTTTGAGAGTACAGATAAATTTTGTAAAAAATTATACAGTAAATACTCGAGATATGAAACATGACCTCCTCTATCTTCACACTTCCTCAACCTTTAACTATGAAAATTTAATAGTATAAATTTCCCTAATACACAAATCCCCTTAAGTAATTTCAGAAATTTTAAGTAATTTCAGAAATCCCCTTAAGTAATTTCAGAAATCGAAAATCAAAAGGCATAGAAGGTATTAAGCTTCAAATTGGGTGAACAAAATCGTTCCCTTCTCACACCCTCTAATTATTATCTTTAAGTCTTCTCAAAGAGTACGATATGAAGTGTTAAATTCTTTGCTTGCTTGATAGTAATTTAGATGATTAGTATGTACTTTTCAGCTGGAAGAACTACGTCGTGTTCATCCTATTTTCCTCTATTAATTCCAGTTTCTTTTCTTTTGTATTCAATAGGCATCTAAAATTAATAAATTCAACTAAGTTCAGAAAAAGTACGCATCTCTCCCTTAAATTTAAAAAAACAAGCATAGCTATAACTGTAAAACTATCTGTCTATTCAAGTCATCGTGTGATACGTAACCATTTTCAGTAATGCTGGTTACGTTGAGTTTTATGGATAAGTAAAAGACGAGAAGAGAGGTGTAGTAGTAGAGAAAATAAATTGAAAAAGCCTGAATGTTATCTTAAATATGTCATAACTGGTTTTTTCGCACGATCTCTATGTTTAGATTGTGTCATGTCGCTTTAAATAACAAGGAATCCATTTTTTTTTCTAAATATAGGTTTAAAGTTACTACCTCTATATATGAAAAATGTTTAATTAAGATTAATTAATAGTAGAAAAAAAAAGAGAAAATACTGGGATATAGAATAATGTGATATATAAAAATAATAAACGTTTAAAAAAGTATAGTGCTTTAAATCAAGTGTTTGGTTGTCTTTAACGCATAATTTTGAATTTTTCTGATAATATCTCTCCTTTTCCTTTAGATTATAATATTTATTAATAGCTTTTTTTCGTAAAAAGTCTACTTGCTCTCAAACGTTTATATCAGTCACTCAGAGATTGAATGAGACAGTAAGATCAATGTAATTTTAAACATAGATTTTAAAATTCATTGAGAACAACTATTGCCTGATATTGATATCATATATCAAAAAATAAGTGAATATTTGATAATATACATTATAATATTTTATATATTAGTTTACATTAAGAATTTATGATTAAAATTATTTAGATAAGAATAAACAGAGAACATTTTTCTGATGTACAGTACAGTATCTATAGGGNTACATTTACAACTACAAAATGCATTTTTCAGTGTTTTCCTTACTATAGTTTTTTTTTTTTTTTAATGTACTGCTTTAGTTTTAATTTGAGTGTGTTTTTCATGTTGGAACGAATTATTTGGTTTTACATGTAATCATACGGGGAAAAATGGTTCACCTTACGACATTTTCATGATACGATCTCAGTTTTGGAATGGATTAATTTCGTATCCTGAGGTACCACTGTATATGCAAGGCCTATGTAAGTGATAAGATTGTTAGGTTGGTGAAATTTATATCAATTAACATCTTGTTATTAGAAGATTAATTTATATAAATTTTATTAATAATAAATGAAAAAAAAGATATAAGGTGATTGAGGTAAATCCTGGCTACCTAAACCTTTGACGATCGATATTAAAACTAGTTTAAATAGTTCTTCAGGCACATTTCTATGGTCAGTCACTTTACTTTCATTCTGAATCGGGTAAACCTG